GCAGACCTGGAGGGAGGTCGTCAATGGGTTAAGCGTGACGATTTTTTTAGGGTAGAGGGGGGGTTGGAGGAGGGGCTGTCATGCTGATGGAGGCTGCAGTGTGTGGCGAGAGGGACGCACGCACCAGCGCTCCTGCGCGTCACGCGCCTACTGACACTACGGCACTACTACTCGCTACTCTGCCCACCTCCTCCCCCGCGTCGGCTCGCCTCTGCCCGCCCCGCCCCCGACGCGGGCCAGAGCCACGGCCGCGGCCGCGCCCTCCTCCCCGCGCCGCGCCTGAAAAAACAAGCCCGAGAGACTCTGACGCACACGCCACTGGGTCGGGGCTCGTCCCTAATCTCCCCGGATCTCCCCGGATCTCCGTCCCTAATCTCCCCGGATCTCCCCGGATCTCCGTCCCTAATCTCCCCGGATCTCCCCGGATCTCCCCGGATCTCCCCGGATCTCCCCGGATCTCCCCAGAGTCCCTCCACGCCAAATCTCCCCCCGCCTCCCCCGCCCCCCCCCTACCTCGGCGTACTGAGGCAAACCCTCCCCCCTCGGCGCATCTCTCCCCCCATCTCCCCCCGTCTCCCCCCACACCGGCGCCCGAAGCGCCGAGCCCGGTCGGCGAGAACTGCGACACCGGCTCGCGCGGCCGCTTGGCGCCGCTGATGTCTGGAGGGCGGCAGAGGCCAGGGTGCTGCTTCCCGCCAACCTACAGCCCGAGGGGGGGGGAGGGGTTTGAGGCACCCCCGCCTTCGTTTCTGTCGCCGCTCCTTGCGAGGCTGTGACGTTGACGATGGTGCACCCGTTGATACCGCACACGCGGTCGTTCATGCGCGACCTATGACAGTGGTGCGGCCGGTGGCAGTGTGCCTCGTGTCGGCTCCCCGAGCCAATCGTGTGCAGCGTGTGTGTGTGTGCGTGTGGGCCGGTCCTCCATGCTAGGAGGTGTGTAACACTGGCTGACTGACTGACTATGATAGTGGTATACGCTCCCCATTCCGTGGCCGGCATGCCGGCCGCATTCACAGCTAGTCTACCTCTATCCACCACCGGACGTCGAAACGGCTAGAGGGCCTCTTGCTCTATTTCGACCCGGTGGTGGAATAGAGATAGACGGACGCCGGAAGGGGCGGCGGGTGAGCTACTAGCGAGAGCTCGCCGCACCGGCTCTGCGAGGCGAGAAGCGCCGCCCGCCACTGCTCGGCGGTGCGCGTCTTCCTCTGCAGCGTGTAGCACCACGCGCCAGCCTCGTCGCGCTGCCACCACGGCCGGAGCTCCGCCGCCGTCGCAGAGTGGATCTTGTTGTACCGCGCGGCGAGCACCTGGAGAGGTGAGGCCGTGTACACTTCTCCACACACACACGAGGTGGTGGGGCGAGGGCCGGGCTAGTCCCTCGCGACTCCACGTCTAGACGACAGGAGCCGGCATGGCAGTCAAAGT